GGGGGGGGGGGATTTCTTGCACCAGACTGTCAGTTCTTTCAGTTTCCAGTTAAATCAACCCCAGGGTGGGGGTGGGTGCGGGTTGCAGTGAAAATGAAAAGTCAACTCACTTAGTTTCCCTAGTGTTTAAAAAAAATACCCCCGTAAGCGTATTTAGGATATGTGTGAAAAGAAAGGAAAAGGAAAAAAAAAATCTGGCTTCATTTAAATCACCTAGCGTTGTATTTATTTCCTTTCCCTTCTGTCACCCTTTCTGGTTTGGAATTGATTAAAGAGCATTACGTAAACTGGAGAGAAATCCAGCCGGCTTTATTTTATTTTATTTTATTTTATTTCATTCAGTCATGCCCTGGCGATTGATTTGTAGCAAGGAAGGATTTGAATGTCTGGGAAGGAGAGAGGAATGGGGGGAGCAATACTTTTATCTGGATAGTGAGGCTGATAAAACTTATCGGAGAAGAATATCTAATATTAGTTGAAGTGTCCTAAATGAACCAGCTTTCTTGATGATCTAAAGTTACCGATCTGCCTATTGATGGCTAGGATGAGTCTGGGTGGTTTAAAATGTGTGGCTAAAAAATAGTTTGAACTCTAAAAGAAACAAAGGGGATTGTTTTAGAGGCAACAGAAAGAAATATTATTCCAATCTTTTCTTCCCTGGTCCTGAAGAATATGTGGATTGTATGAAGCCATTGCTGTTTTTTCCCTTTTGCGACTTACACCGATTATAAGGCATACAGTGGATCTGTGGAACGAAAGCCCGCAAAGCAAAGAAGGATATTTATTATTAAATTGTGTCCGTAAAAAAGGGGCCACAGTTAGTGCTGGAACTGTCGGGAGTGTTGAAATGAAATGAAACAATGTTTCTCTTTAAATACCTCCTGGAGGCGCCCTCTGCCGGACATTTGGGTCTGATTTAGAAAAGAAACTTGCTGTTGAATGAGGAACTGTAAGGACAGATTTGTAGGAGGAAATAAAAAGTGTCTCTGGTTCAGCCAGCTTTTCTTTTTCAGTGCTAATCACATGGGGTGCTTGTGGCAGCCAGATACTGTTAGAAATGCCTGGAGGTGAACAGGTGCTCTGCCCCTCCACCTCAGCCAGACCAGAATTGCATTGCACCCTGCTCTTCCTGGCCTGGGCTCCATGCTTCCCAGCAGTGTCACTTCCCCTGAATCCTCATCCATGTCACAGATTTGGGGCCCCATGTATGGTAATGCTGCTGGCATATTTCTGTCCTGAGCCAGGTCAGTTCTTTTCTATTCCAGACTTGGACCACCTGCACAGCTAGTCCAGTTCACTGCAGGCCTGACCTGCACCCCACTGTTGGCTATTCCTGTTCTTGAGTCTATCCGAGGCAGAGACTACTAACCAGGTTGGGTTATGCAGTGATTTTCTTAAGTCCACTGCAAGGTGGGGCAAACCAAGATCAGATTAATTTCGGACCTCAGCTGCATGATGGCTCCCTCCAGGTCCCCAGAGTTGGTGCATTTCACTTCAAGTTTCACTCACAGATGTTTAGGGCTGGGAGGGACCTAATGAGATTATTGGGTCCACCCCCCCTGCTCTGGGCAGGAAAGGCTGCTGGGGTCAAATAACCCCAGCAAGGTGTGTGTCCAGCCTCCTTTTGAACATCTCCATGCCCTTGGTATGAGGATGGACTAATGAAGTAGGCCCATAGGGCAGTATGAACACAATTCTTACCTTCCTTCCTTTGGGATGTGTCCTCTCTGATTATTTTTCATTCTGGGAAAGCACACAGCACCTTCTCTAACTGTGAAACATTATACAGGAAGAAGAGACTTCAACCTTGTGGGAGCCAGAATACAGGTTTCTTATCAAACCTGGTGGTGACACACACAAGCTTTTAGTCTGAGTTGTAAGTTAGTGCACCTTCAGGATAAAGGAGGATTGTTTGGAACCAAACTGCAATAGCACTACAGCAGGGAGGGTCACACATCCAATCTCTGCATCATAGGGAGACACCCCTGTCTTTAAAATAGGCAAATGTGATTGAAACATTCAATCTGAAACAGTTGGTACAAGGGAGCGTGTGGAATTTAGATTAATTTTGCATTAGAATAGGTTGAGGGTTGGGTTGCATTTGCAGGGTTGGGGATGGGGGGTGTTAATGAGTACTATTTCCTTCCTCCTAGTCATGAGAATTCTTCCGAGTTCCTTGTCACATCCAGGGGTGTGGATGGAAACATTTTTACTTGAACATGGAATGTGTTTTTATCCTCTCAAAAGAAGATGGTGTGGTTCTAGTCCATCCTTCCATAAATTATAGTCTGCATATCACAAACTCTCTGTAGCCTTCCCCTGGAGCATCAAGTATGTTTAGGCCACCAACAAAAGCACAACAGCAGATGTGTTGGATCAGTGCTGTGATGTGTGTGGCAGCCCTTATACTCCTATTGTTAGATTCCTGCCATGTAAATTGATCACTGTTGTTAACACAAACATATCCCCCCACAACCACCAGCAGCAAAAAAAAGGACAAAATATTTGATAAGGTGTCTTTTCTAGCAATACAGGTTTGAACAATACAGGCTTTTTACAATGACATGCCCTGGTAAAAAATATTACACTGAAACTGTGTTATAAAGTCATTCCAATATATCTTTATGTAAGCAAAGTATAACACACACCATCTGCACAAAGACCTATACAGTTCTGAAGGCAAAGGTGAATACTGCGCTTAAGTTTATTAAGCAGCTGGTACATGTACCAGTTCTTCTGAGCAGTAATGTCCACTTTAGTTAAAAAAGAAATCATAGGGTAAGGTCCCACTAAAGTTGGCAGCAGTATTGCTACTGATTTCACTGGGATTTTGCCCGTCACGTTCCCAATGCGCTGAGCTTCCTTATTTATTAGGGTTTTTTTTTAATTTTTTAAAACTGGTAGGTAAAAGGAAGGAAATAAAGCAGACCACATATAATCAAAGTAGAAAGTGAACTCAGACTGACCTCCAGTGCTTGATTTGGGTTACTTTAGTCTTAACCTAGACTGGAAAATATACTGGGCTCAGAACAGAAACTATGGGGAGTGGTCTTTAAAAATCACATGCCCAGTTTCTCGCCTATTGTGAATCAGTACAAGTCCACTGGCTTCACTGCTTCCAGCCAGTTGAGGATCTGGCCATATGAGTCTAACCCAGAGAGATGATGGCCCCTCGTCCAACTCCCCTTCTGCATACTTAAGATCATTTGCAAGAGTTAAACTGAGTAAAATTTTCCCCTGTGAAAAGAGCAAGCAGAAGGCCTGTATACCACTTATGACCCACTCAAGCCTTCAGTTAAGAGGGCTTAAAACTGGACTTAATTAGGGGCCAGGCATTGTGCCCTAGCGTGAATTTCATCTATGGCTCCCTTAGTGGTTCTCTAAAGCCAGAATTTTACAGTGTTTAAAGCAGGGATGTTTAACAGGCATGTATTTGCTTTCACCTCCACTTTAAAAACAAGTAGTGCCATGTGTTTTGGTTTTGCTCCTTTTTGCTTTGCTTATTACTTATCCTTGACAACTTTGTTGCAGTTTGCAGTATATTTTTAACATTCAGTAGTTTTATATGTGGGTGGCTTATGGAATTAATATCTGTAATTTTTGTATATTATACCTAGCTGTTATAAGGATGCTTATGGGGCTCTGTGCAATCACAGGAGGGCTGCTTACATGGAACTCCTGGCAAGATTAGGCCTGGGGTCCTTGGAGGCCTGCAGCTGTGACCCTGCACACATCACAAGTCAGATTGCATTTACCTAGCAAATGTTTTCCCAGCTCCTTTGGGGCAGGCAGCAGAGATAGGCAAAATGCAATAATTTTGTTTCACTGGATCGCCAAAAGCTTTATGATACACGGACCTTCTGATCAAAGGGGTAGAACCAAGGGCGCTTTGCAAAGGTCTTTGCTCCAACAGTCTGTGCACTGAGATGAGAACTGGAAGGTGCTTCCTACCGATGAGATAATAACTATAGCTTGAGCTAAATTAATGCTAGGACCATTGGCTTGGGGTTTTATTAGTTCAGGATATGGTTATAGCCAAGATAACAGAAAGCCCTCTCCAGTTATAATTATTGTTTGTATTATTTGGCGGGGTCCACTGAATCAATACTGAGCAGATGCAATGGTGGAAAATGCTGCTTTATTTTCTGTAGTGGAAGCAGCACAGCAGGGTCTGGGTGGTGGAGGATGATGGGCAATGCTTTCTGAGGAGTTTC